CCATGTGCGAATATGTGATAACGAACCCCATCATCATGCATGAGTATGATGCACCATTTAAGAGGGGAAAGAGAGTCAACCCAGTCATCTCTCAGGAGCTGGGCTGTGGCCAGTGTGGGAGGCCCTGGGCTCTACCCCCGGCATGCAATGCGAAATGAAACACGGAAACCTTCAGCGGTAATCTGTTGGATAAGACGAGCAGCCAGATGAGGATCCCCTGTAGCTGTGAACAGAGGAGGGAAGTCCCCATGACGTTGTGCTGCATGAAAAGAGCAAGGCACAGCACCTGCATGCTCCATCTGGGTGGGACAAACAGCCAACGTGTGACTGTCCAGCAGGACGTGAGACAAAGGGACAGGGAGGGCTCTGGGGAGGGCAACAGGGGGGTGAGGGTGGGAGCTGACTGATTTCTTCAAAAGGACGCAAGCCTTCCATATGAGCCTCGTGACTCCGCCTCTTCCCGACACCCGCCGGCCGTGGTCCCCTCATCCCAGCTTCTGTACCCTGGAGCCCCCGGCGCCTTCTCAGGGCCTGTCCTGGCCTGTCCTCGGGGCTCCCGCAGCACTGCTCCTGTGCCAGGAACAGCCACCAGGAACACAGCTTGTGCCCGTATCCAGGAACCTGTCCCTGCTGGCCTTGGCCTGAAGTCCTTTAATGTGCCATCCTTGATAGGAAACACGTCCCAGTGTGGGCTGCCACCAAGAAGGAAAGAAACGAACGAGGGGCCGCTCGCTCCTGTTAGCAGGTGGTGCCCCAGTGACACCCTAGGCCCTGTGATCAGGGGCCATCTGTTTTGGGGAGGGGTGCTTCCCAGGCCACACACAGTTTTCCAGGCTTCCCCAGTTGGTCTGAGGCGCGGTCCAGGCTCGTGTGACTGGCCACAGGCGATGTGCTCTCCTCCCACCAGGCGCAGCACTCGGCAGCTCTCCCACGGGTTCATTCCCGTCAAAGGGAAAAGGAAGACAGATCCAGGCTGAGGCGCCCAAGGGAGAGTTCTGCCAGCTCCGACCAGAGCCATGAAATCTTCTGGGGCTGCCACCAGCCCTTCTGTTCCCATGGACACGCCACCCGAATGGCCTTCAGTCATGAAGCCTGGGATGGACAGCCTAGACCAGGACACTGCAGCAGAGCCCTAATGCAGAGTTCCTGTACCCAGACCCTGGACACAGCCTTGTGCCAGCTGGTGGGCACTAATCAAGGCACCTGGGCCTGTCTCTGTGGGTCCCCCAAAGCCCCATGGAGGTCACACAGGGAGGGGAGCACCTTGGGCCACCCATGGCAGAGTCAGCCTGCAGCAGCTGTCTTCCAGGAGACAGCTGCTGATGGACAATGGTGGTGGGTGTGACATTCTCCACGGCAGACAAGACTTGGCGCCCACAGCTCTGCCACTGCACTGGGAAGAAGCCCAGGGGTTGGCATTTGTGCAGCAGCAAGGACACATGGGAGGCTGATTGTCCCTAACTGGGACTCTCGTCCTTCCCCTTTTCCTCCCTCTTTGCACCTGGCTTTCTTCTCCCTTCCCTGGGGGGGCAAAGAGATCCATCACCTGCTTTAAGGAATGAAGAGGATTAAAGACCAGGCAACCAGCAGATCCAGGGGCCTCTCCACGCCTGTCTGTCGCTGGACCCCTCCCTGCCCACCACTGCGGACTTGCTTCCCTTTAAAAGAAATTCCCAACAGACACAGTGGCCACACTCTGAGAAAACCCAGCGTCCCCTTCTCCACCTCCCAGGGCCACCTCCTCTGCCCCAGCGCTGCGACAGGAATGGAAGACACACAGAAGGAGCCATGCCCAAGTGACACCTGCAACCACGTCTGTAAGTCACGGCTTCCAGAGTAGACCCAAGACCTCCTGTAGAAACTACCTGGGCCCTACCCCAGCTCTGGGGACACTGAGAGATTATACAACACGTAGGAAATTAAGATTTCCAGGAACCACATGAACTGGCAGCCGACCTGATTTGTCCTTTAGGCCCCCTTCCTTCCTCTGAATGCCTGCGTGGAGCCTGCTGCCCACCTGACGCTTCAGTGAGGCCTCAGCAGCCTCCAGGGAATAGCTGGGTCACTAAATGCCAGCCATTGAAAATGGCACTGAATTCCTTTAAGGCCCTCATACCCCATGTTCAGATTACCAGGGACACATTCTGAAATGATCAGGGCCTCCGAGAGGAAAACGAAGACCTGGCTCCTCTTGCCTTATCCTAACCCTAGTCAGTGAGGATGACACAAGAGTCACTAAGGAACAGGGATGCTGAGGCAGTGGACCTGGGCAGAAAGCGAGGAGGAGGTTCCCGAGGCAGAGGTCTGCCCTGGGGGAGTGAGGCCACCCCCAGCATGCCTCATCACCACGGCAACGGCCACCTCTGCAGCAAGGCCCACCCCGCCCTGAAGGTGCGACTGGCCATAGGTGGGAGGCAGGTCCTCCAAATTTCTCATCCGGAGTGCGCTTACCACTGTCCAGGGACAAACCAGGCCAGGCTGGAACCACCCTCCTGCAGCCCCCTGGGTCCACCATGCTGCTCAACTCCAGGCAGACCGGATGGAGCTGCCACTGGGGACACAGCATCTTTCTGAGCTGAGAGGCCCCTGGGGTGGTTCCGGGGTAGCCACGGTGAGGGGCGATTGGAATCCCACGGAGGCTCCCTCCTCTGCCTTTGGAGCAATCGTACTGACAGGTGCGAAGGAAGAGCCTAGAGTCGTTCAGCCCAGGGATTCGCCCAGGGATTCATCAACTGCTCGGAAACAGGCGGTCCCAGGTTTGAATCTAAGTTCCGTATACTGTGAGCAGAGGTACTTTAATTTCCAGAAACTCTCTTGAAAAGACAAAATGGATGAAGACATATCAGACAAGGGAGACCAGCACCTCCCAGCTCCGATCCTGACACAGCGGGCCTGCGTCTTCATCCTGACAAGCCCCTCCTCAGCTCCCTGGCCAAGACAGGCTTCTGTGGTTACCCCATGATGTAAAAGCTTCGCCTCCGGCAGTGGGAGAAGTCTTTCCCGTTTTTCTCCGTGGTGGCTGTTAATTGCTATTTTTCCTGGTGGCCTCCCTAGGAGTGCTGGGGCCTGTGGTCTCTCTCCTCTTGTCCGGTGGCACTGGGAGGGGCCGGGCCCTTGTGTAAGAGCCAGGGGTGATTCTGCCACGTGGTTCTCTGCAGGTTCCTGCCTCCCTCCCTTCTCCAATCTGCAGATGCCCCAAGAGTGTTAAATGACTTTATTCTATAAAGTAACTCGGTATTTTATAAATGTCACTTGCATTCCTCGGGAGCGCAGTGTGAGGAACGTAGCTGTCCTGCGAAGGTCCCCACAAGGCAGCGTTCTGCTACAGTAGGGCGAGCTCTTCGTAGGACGTGTTCAGACAGCGAGAAGGTTCTGCATGGATCCTAAGAGACCTGGGCCATGGAGACCTCATGTTTTATTTAGGAAAATGAGGTTTTGATCTAGAAAGTGATGTCCCCAGCTGCCACATCCAGCCTGCTCTGACAGGGCAGCAAAGGCTCTCGGGAGTTGAAGGGGAAGCCAACTTCCTGTGGAAGTGGGAGGCAAGGCTGATTTTCCACAAATGTCCACAAAGCTGAGGCACGTCACTGCTTCTCCAATCCCGAATGCAAGGTAGCAGGGCAGGGGTCCTCAGTAGTGGCTAACAAACTGGCCGACGTAAAGCGTTCGCACCTGATCCTTCTGCAGGAGGATGGCGTGGGTGGGGCGTGGCCTTCTGTCCCTCACTGTGGACAAGCCAGATCAGGACATCTACAACCCACATGAAGCTCCAGTGGGAACCCGGTGCTGCCGCCCGGCTCTGGCTGCATCTGTGCGTGGGCCGGGATTGCGCGGCAGCCACTGTGGAGGCGACCAGCTGTTCCCCTCGCTGCACATGTGTCCCCTCGTAAACTTCCCGGCAAGCTGGCGGCTTCGCACTCCTCACTTAGCTTTGTTTGTGTTTTCAATGAATCAATGGGATATGGAGGCTAATCAGCATATTTAGAAAAATAAAGAAAGAAAAAAGAAGAACTGCTCCCGATGCCGGCTGTTCCCTGAAGCTGGGTAAGAAGAACTCAGCTACGCCGTGGACCTGGCGCAGGAGAGCTGCTCGGGGACCAGAGGGAGCCTGGCGCAGAGGTCAGGCAGGGCAGTGGTGGACAGGAGTCCTCAGGGCGGAGATAAGATATCTGAATGGAGGCTCTCCTGAGCCAAGAGGAGGCCCTGCTCCTCAGCCTGCTCCTCCTCTGCCACCTTCCTGCTCTTCCCCTGCACCTCCCCTGCCCTCCCTCCTTGCAGGCCCCTCCACTGCTCCACCAAGTCGCAGCATGAGCTGTTCCCAGGGCCTTTTCTTCCCAGTTGTCCCACTCCTTGTGCCCTGGTATCTCTCTCACAGGCTGCCCAGAGGCCTCCCGAGAACGAGATAGGATGTCCCCTGCCTCAGCCCTGCTGGAACGTGATGCCCGCACCCTGTCTCCTCCTATTAGACGGGAAGCACTGCGCGTGGAATCTGTCCCTGACTCTGTCCCCAGCCCCAGTCATGGGGCTCTGGGTCTGGACACCGATGGACTATGGTGAAACGCAGGGAGTGGCGGATGGCTCGGCGGCCCCCCACCCAGCCGATCCCCTCCTAGAGTCCCTTTCTCTCTTTTTACCATCCATAACAACTTGGCTTATAATAGTCAAAATCCAGAAATAACCAAAATGCCCTATAAGCGACAGCAATAGGAACTGGCACAACCGCACGGCAGTACGCAGGACCAATGGGGAACTCTTGCTGCCGCCTGCAGCGGACTGAGGGATCTCGACACCTTCTAGTGGGAAAGCGGATCCCAGAGGTGGCTTCCTGATGACTCCCCTGATGGGATTCTCGAGACAGAGGACAGGAGGTGGTGGCCAGGGGAGTGTATTATTTCCGACTCAAAAGGGCAGGCCACGGACCTGCCGGGCCCAGATGGGAAGAGGGAGACCAGGGGAAGCAGGGGAACATTTTGCAGGGATCGAGAGAAGCAGGCTGTTACCTGAGCTCACGCAGCCCTGCTGGAGCGGGTCCTGCAGCGAGGTCGCCGAGTGGAGGGCTGGAGAAGAAGGGAAAGGGGCGTTAGGGGAGGGCGGCCGGCAGAGCCTCCTAGCTGAGTGGGCTGAGGAAGGGGAGCAGTGGAGGCCCGGCCTGGAGGAGGCTGGCTTCCTGCAGCTCATGCCAGGGCCTGGCCAGGACAGGGCAGGGTTGTTTAGGCCTGGATAATGCTGCTCACCAGAGCCAGGTCCTGGGCTGGGAGCAGGAGGAGTCGGTGCCTGGGGTACTTGCTGCTGTGCCTGTGGCTGCTTTTCTTTCCGGTCCCTGATTTAGCCACTTGACTTTACCTGTATTTATGTATCAACAGCACTTTCTTAATTGGCAACTCATTTTCTGCTGCTTATAAAATTAGCCAGGCACCATCTTTTCACTCCTAAAACCCGTTCAATCCTGTGGCAACGGGTTTGGAGGAGGGGTGTGTTCTCCACCTTGGGGGCAGCCAACAGCTGACTGGGAGCTGGTCCCTTCCTGGCCCTCACAAGGGGGCTGGCTGCCTCCCCTGCAGACCCTTCCTTCCCAGCCTGCTCCAGCAAGCCGCCTCACCTGGCCCTTGCTGCTGGCCCTGCACGGGCAGCACACCCTGGCCCAGCTCGCCGTTCAGCCACAACTGCATCCGGATGAAGGGTTCCCGGCCCTTCTGGGTCAGCTTGCTCCAGGGCTTCGGCCGGGACAGCATGTCACTCACACTGCCCTGGGACAGGCCCAGCACCTGTAGTGGAACCAAAAAGACAGGTGGTGGGTGCTTCGGCAGTAGTGTGATACACACATGGTGGGGGTGGTGGGGTGAGGACCCGCAGCCAGCGTGTCTGGGGCCGGCTTCTGAGCACAGTGTGGGCCTGATGGATGGAGACGGCCAGGGGAACAAGCTTTGTAAGATCCCCGGGGGGCTAATGAGCTGGCATGGGGTGGGGCTCTGGACAGGTCATCTCCAGTCAGCTCTCAGGAACTGGTGGTTGGGATGGGAGGATTGTCCCCCACACAGGAGGAAGCACTAGAAAGCAGGCTCTCTGTCTGGGGGCCACAGGAAAAGCAGGGTAGTGGGCAGAGGGCCTGAGAGGCAGGAGTGGGTGCCGGAGGGACAGGGAAGGCAGGCTGCTTTGTTAATGCCGAGCCAGGATGGCACTTAGAAAGGGCCCATGTCTCCCTCGTCACATCCTGCTCACAGGTCGGGGCAGAGGTGAGCCGGCGGGGCTGGGGAGCTGGTGTGGGAGGGACACTCGTGGCAGACGACGGATGAGCCAGCACACACCGAGTCTTCTGTTCCCATATGGCCATACATATGCATGGGCACCACACCCCCCCCAGGACACAGATGCAGCCCAGGGATATTCAGGGGCTGCATCCCATCATTCTTTCAAAAAGTTCTCAAGTTCCAGAATAAACTGCACTCATGGGCCAAACAAGCCCCACACCATTAAGTCTCTGCTAAATTTAAGGCTTGAGCACAAATGTCTATTTAAATGTTCTTGAACGATATTTTTACAACACTGAACTAGAAATCTCAAGGGACTTTGGATTCCCATCCCCATTTCTAAGTGTCCCCATCACCTTTGTAAAACCAGGGTGAAGAGTTCACTCTCAGCTGTTGTAGGGACAGTGTGATACCCTGCAACCCGTGGGTTGAAGGCAAGGTGGGGTGGGCGGGGCGGCCAGCTGTGGCCAGCACTCCATTACTACCTGATCTAAGATGGTGGTAAATCCCCACCATCCAGAATCTGTCACCAGGGTGGTGCCAAGAACAGAAAGGTCTAGAAGCCCACTCACAGATGATCCCATTTCCATGAACCAGGGAGGAACAATGTGGAAATAAGGGCAGGCCAGGGCAGTTTGCTGGTGCCCCCACAGGGGTGTATTCTTGGGCAAGTTGTCCCTGGCAGGATGGTACCCAAGTGCCTTTCAAGCTGCAGCAGAAAGGAAGACCTACGCTTCATGCAGGTTTCTCTATTAAGTCCGCTGAGGCTCTCTGCAGGCTGTTGGCCCTCTGTGTGATCTGCCCAGATCAGACCTTGTTTAGGTCAAAATGGCCTGCAAAGGTGCCATCTGGCTCCACCTGGCAGTGGAGGCTGGATCTAGATTGTCTCCTGCCAGCTTGGGGAGGTGCTACCTTCCGCAAGCTTTAGCTCCGTACTTCCACCCACCCCCGGAGTAGTGAGAGGCCCAGAGGAGGGTACAGTGAGGCCGAGCCTAGACCCGGCCACGAGCAGGGCTTGGCACGTGGAACCCAGGCAGGGAACAGCTGCTAGCTGGCTTCTGTGGTTGGAGTGGGAAGCACATGGTGTGTGGTCAGTTAAGATGGTGGTGGCCATCCTCTAGGGTGGGCACTAGTCCTGAGCCACAAGAAGGAATGGGAACCCGGCCCCAGTGGAATTCCTTACCTTCTCCCCGAAGATCCTTTGGCAGATGCCATTCTTGGCCAGCTTCTCCTTGACCTGCCGGGTGAGCTCGATGGTGTCTACCTCCTGGTACATGTAGACCTCGTACTGCTCAGGGGTCAGCGGAGGGACTGAGGGCTTCGCGGGCTTTGCCATGGGCACAATAGGGGAGGAGGGCAGGGGGCTGTTCTGGGGTGTTTCGCTGCGGCTGGCTCCGGCGACGCTCAGCTCTGAGCTCTGGGAGTACGGGGACTCGGCACTTGGCCACTCTTTCCAGCACTCTGATGATGACGAAGGTCCTGGGAGCTGGCTGCGCTCGGCCCGGGGCTGGCCGCTGACCCTTTCTCTCCCGCCTCCAGCTTCTTCAGCCTTCGGCTCCTCGGAGGAAGGCGGGTTTCTCCTCTCAGGCTGCACTGGGCTCCACCAGTGGTCCTTCCACCCGCTGCTACGGCCCAGCTCGCTCTTCACGTGCCTCAGGACCCCTTGTGCAGCGTCAGCTGCTCCCTGAGGGTCCAGCCCGGGCACATCCTGGGCCTCCTTTTTGAGGGCCGGGGCACTGGGCAGGGCCGGGGCACTGGCCTCGGGGGCGGTGGGCGTCTTCTTCAGGGAGATGGCGAGAGGAGAATAACCGGGCACTGTGGGCATGGGCGCGGCCGACAGGAGCTTGGGGGTCAGGAGGGCGAGGTCAGGTTGGGACAGCGGCGCTGGTTTTAAGGCAGGGTCTAGGGCGGCCTGCTGGGCCTCCATTTCCCGGCGGGCTTGCTGCAGGATGGAGCGGATGGCATCGTCAGAGTTCCCGCTGCTGGATGCGGAAGACGGCTGGGCTGGCTCTGCTGGGCGAGGCAAGCACAGGGGTGAAGTTGTGGTGGCCCGCCCTGGCTCTGCCGTCACTCCTCCTGACCCCCACCCAGTGCCCACACAGTGGGACCACACGGCCACGTTCCCCACACCCTCGGGTTAGTGTGACGTCTGTGCATCTCATCCAAGACCGGCACTCTGGCTCCATCGCCTGCTGTCCTCTGCCACACACAGCTGGAGTTCCTACCACAGTGTGACCAAGGGGGAGGCCTGAGGCACTTGGGGACATGCCCTTCTGGGCTCCTTCTCCTGGGGAATCTTAAACTCGACATGAACTCTCTGGAGCTGTCCCACGGGTCTTGGGGTCTGTCCAACTCCAGACGCACGGCTGTTGCGACTGTAGCCAGGACCAGGGTCTCCCAGAGGTCAGTGGCCACAGCCGTGAACCTCACCAAGGGGCAGTGGGCGGGGGTGGCAGTGCATTTCAGGGGAAGTTGCTGGCCCAGAAACCTGGAGAAGTCCTAAGGCATCGGTGGGCCTCAACATGTGTGTGTGGAATGGCCGATGGACCAGACCAACTCGGGCTCCCTAAAATGTGTGTGCCTGGGCTGCTCCTGGTGTCTGGTGGGAGCAGGTATGGGACTGGCCCAGTGTCTGCAGACCACTGGCTCCTGGGGACTGTGGGTGGCAGTGCTGGCTGAGAGCCACTGGACAGGGTGATCTTCAGGAGGTCCCTGGCTCTGTCCCATGTTCCCTGAATCGTGCACCTTCACGTCTAGGAGAGGAATCCTAATAGCTTTGAAGGGGCTAATCCTTTCTGCTTTAAAGGAGGCCTAAGAATGTCAAAGTAACTGTAACGATATCTTTCTTTGGTCCTGAGCATTACACCCAGGGACTTGCGCATGCTGGGCACACACCCTGTCACTGAACTACAACAGTGCCTCCTTTAAAAATTTTTCAGACAGGGTCTTGTGATGTTGCCCAGGCTGACCTCAAACTTGTGATCCTCCTGCCTCAGCCTCCCAAATAGCTGGGATTATAGGTGGGCACCACTGCGCCTGGCCAGCGACAACTCCTGACCTGTGAGACGGCCCTTCTCCAGCTCAGGAGGGCCATATGGCACCACAGATGAAGGCACTGCGGGGTGGGGAGGAGTGGATGATGAAGGGTGCCCACTGTGTCCTGGGCCTTCTTTCCTCTTGGCCCTGTGATGTTGCCCTGCTGAAGACCCTGGCCCTCTAGCTACTGTAGTGACATAGGCTCCCGGCTCCACTCTGGCCAGAGCAAGGTCTATGCTGGACTGAAAGTTTCATCCACTGCCAGGATAGTGTCCTCTCTCTCTGGGGCCTTTAGCAGAAGGCGGATGGCACTGGAGTTGAGAAACCAGAGTTTCCATCAAATTGTCCTCTGATGAACTTGGGCAAACCATTTTAACTGAGGCTGAGCTTAATCAGGAACAATGGGATGACAACATTTGTCCTCTGGGTTCTGAGGACTCTGCTTGAGCAGAAGGCAGGGGACATGCCCAGCCCGGGCCTCAGGAGGGAGCACTGAGCTGAATGAGCTGTGGAGAGGAAGGCTGAGTGACCGGGCCAGGAGCCAGCGGGGGAGCCCATGCTCAGCTGTCACAGCTCAGCTGGGCGGGACCCTGAGGCGGGTTGTGGGGGCGGTGTTCTGCAGAGCGGGGTTCATGGGTCAGAACGGGTGGCACGGGAAGGGGACTCCCTCCTCTCCTGTGCCGTAGCATGGAGCTCCTCCCTGACACTCAAGGCTCAGCCAGAGAAAAGCTGGAACAGGCTTGGTCCTCTCAGAGGACACGCTTCACGGGCTCCCAGTCTGGAGGCAGGTGGCACAGTGGACCCCACCCCAGGGGCGGTGGCTCCTAACTGTCAGTCACTCAAGGTCTGCAGCTGGGAGGGCTTCTTGTCGCCTACTCTGCTTCAGCTGCAGTGGCTCCAGCGTGACGGAGGGCCCAGTGACCAAGGCCCACCCTGCACGGAGGAGAGGGAGTCTGACACAACCTGCCTGCCGGTTTAAGTTGAGCAGATTAGATTCTAGGCCAGAGGGACTTCTTGAGTCATTTTTGAGAATGACATTAAAAGAAGTGGGGTAATCTGGCGCCTGACGGACTGCTGACTGGCTCCTCTCTGCACACACCAAATGCGTGAAGACATGCCGGCTACTGTTTAGAGAGTGAATTACTGCTGACCACGACGCTCAAGATGGGTCTTTTAATTAAGCTGGGAAGACGGGGGCCGAGGAAGCGGGACCATACCAGTTTTCTGTACTTGAAGCTCCCTCTTGGCTTGTTCCAGGATGGACTTGATTGCTTCATCGGAACCAGTGTCAGAGGCTCGGATGCGGGTGGTGATGTTACCTGTGGGGAGAAGCCACAGCAATGACATCAGATCCAGACTCTGTGTGCAAGATCAGAGCTGCAAGAAGACATCATTCTGATAACAGGCCCGAGCTGAGGCTGGTGACGTGAGGAGGCAGGCGTGGCCTCCCGCAGCCTGCACTGGCAGGAGCGCGACCTCACAGCTGTACCCAGCCGCTGGGCAGGAGGCTTCCTGCCGAACCTGCCTCCTGGGCTCCTACATCACCTGAGCTGGATGTCGCCCGGGGGGTGGGGGGGCTGGGGGTGGTACCAGGGAAGAACAGACCATTTAAAGCACTACAAAAAAAGACAATGTATTCTAAGGCAATATTTTCATGAGTCGTTTAAAAGCATCTCCAACAACTGCTTTGGCTTGGGACTATATTTGGTCTCTGTATTATTTTTCCCAAACAGGGAAGGAGGGAAAAGGGTGGAGGCTGAGCCTCCATCAATCATTCAGATGCACCAGGTGAAGAGCCACAAGGCTGAACTTGAACTTTTTTCGGATCTATGACCACACACTGTCTTTTTTTGGAAATTTACAGACAAGGAGAGAAGGCTGCAGATTCCTAAAGGACAAGACCATGTAGTCACAGTCACAGGGTGGTGCTCACAGAGCAGCCACACACGCTGATGCCCTGGGCAGCTGAGGCCCGGGGCTGGCCCCAGGTCCCCTGGAAGCTGCCCAGGCATTTTACTTGTTCACCACCTGACTCTACATGAAGCGCCACATTATACCGTTGAAAAGCAAGAACATCACAGGATGAAGCCCCATTAACTATTTGACTCCCAGGAGCCAGGAGGGGGTTGGCTTGCCCAGGCCCACAGGACAACCAACTGCATTCGGAACCTGTCCACCACATGGGACCTTTGACATATTTGAGTTAAAAGTTGTGGGAAGCAGCAGTACTGGCTCGATGTGGTCACCTGATTTTTCTCAGAGCAGTAACTGTTACTCTTCCTCCTGCTTCTGAGAAAACAGGCACAGTGGAATTGGAATCAAGGGGGGCTGGTGCTTGGGGACTAACCTTGGGGACACCCCTTCTCACGTGGTCTGGCTCAGTAGAGCGCAGGCAGCTCAGGAGGAGGGGCTTGGGCATCTGAACCCGTGCTTTGTTTTATACTTACTAGCTGTTTTTCCATCAGGTTCCAGGCCAGAATGACACTGCACAGTTTTAACCCAAATGCACAGCTAAGGACATGCTGCATCCTAGGTTACTGACTGCAAAGAGAAACACCTGCCTGCGACATACCTTCAGACCCATTTCTTCGTTTCGGTACTTCCTGAAATAGTCTGTTCAGGCTCTGGCCTGGATTCTCTGTTGAAAAACAAGTGTGGTAAGAACAAAACAATCAGGGGAATGGTGGCGTCGACGACATGGCTGCGTGACATGAAATCTGAGCCGCCTGTTGCTAAAGAGAGGGCTCTGGGCTTCCTGTGCAACTCGGGAGCTACGAGAAACTTCTAACAGGCCCTTCCCTGGCTGACCGGCCCGTAGAGGCCACTGCTCACCTGCAAGAGGAGGCTGACAGACCTAAGTAGTGGCAAGGTATTGCCACCCAGAGGGCCTAAGGGAGGGAGAGCTGCCTCCAAGCACATCACCCGCCAGCCCAGGACCGAGCCTTGCAGCCACCGTCCAGAGACACTCGGTTAACATCACTAGGGTGCTTGGCATTCGTGGGGCACATGGATGTTGCTTGGACTATCTCCCTTCTGGTTGAGTCTACATGTCAGGGTGTTTCAAATGAGGCTGATAAAGTCCTCACCTTGTATCACTGTTGAATTGGCACAGGGACTTCCTGTCCCTAAAGAGGGAAAGAACTCCTCTTATTAGGATGAGACTGGCTTTTTAATCTTTGTATGAAGGGCAGGGTAGGAAAGGTGTTTGAGTAAAACTGCTGAGTATGTTGCTCATGGCAGGCGTGTTTTGGTCATGGTGCTAGAAAAATGACTAACGGGATGTAAGGTGACCACAGGACAGATATTCCCTGATGGGCAGGGAGAGGAGAGAGGCAGCTTCCATAGGCTGGGCCCATAGCCAGTGCTGCAAGGACAGGGCCCCGTCGCTGCTGCTGCTATGGGGCTGTTTGCTATGGGGCTCGACGGCCACAGGGTCTGCTCCCAGTGGGAAGCCCAGCGCCCAAGGCCAACTGGACCAGGCCACTAAGCTGCCGGATGTTGTAACATAGTTCCCTCCAGGTCAGTGCGTAGCAGCGGAACACTGAATTCACTAAGAAGGTGCTGAGTGGTTTCCAAGGCCAGCTCTCCCCAGTCTAATGGCTTAGCTCATGCCGGTCCTCCCTTGAGCTCTGGAAATGGTACCTCTGCAAAGAGTTTTACCTGATGTGATGCACAGATGTTTGTCACACGCACAGACACACACGCACACACACAGCCTCGTGACGGGCTCGCTCGCAGGCGCCAACCCCAGGGCGGCTCTCACCTCTTTGTCTGCCTTGGATGCTGCGAAGAGCCAAGATGTTCTGCTCGTCTGAGAGGAACTGCTTCATCTTGTGGAACGGCTCCTTGCCGCGGACGGTCAGCTTATTCCATGGCTTCGGCCGGGCCAGGATCTCACTCACGGACCCTTGAGACAGTCCCAAGACATAATGTCCGAAAATGCGCTGTCCAATATTGTGCTTGATCAGCTGCTCTTTGACCTGTCGGGCGATTTCTGCAGTGTCTATCTCCTCGCCCTCGGAGACGCTCCCAGCACTTTCTGACTGGCTGGGGGATGGGGCCATGCCATTTACGTCTGGGCTTTGTTGTAATGGACTTTGGGAAGATATGGAGTTTGTGCTGTATGGACCTGTTGAAAAAATCATGCTTGTGCTTCCTGCTTCCTGCATGGCCTTGGAGTAGAAGGACTGCATGAGCTGCCGCTGGAGGAGAGAGTTTAGTGCAAATTTTCCTGTAGAAGCCAGGGGCAGGCTGGGGCTTGCCAGGGATGAGCTGAAAAAGTCTTGACTTAACCCCGCTGGTGAGAACTGGTGTGTACCATTAGTATTGGAAGCCTGCTCCCCCGCGTTGCGGGACAACTGAGGAGGAGGGGAGGCCGGCAAGGGTCCAGGGCGCCGACTCTCAGGCTGGTCTTTCCCTTTTCTCCTGGCTGACCCTACAAGGAAGGGCAAACAGAATGCATTATGGGGGATTCAAAAGGGAAAAAAAACCAAGACCAGAATGCAAAGTTTGCCCCACAAAAGGGAAAAAAAAAGTGCAGATTTTACAAGGGCCAATGAGGTGTGTTGGTTTGTTTTCGATTGAATTTGTAATCAGCCAAACACGGCCCCCCAACACAAGCCACATGCATTCATGTTTGCGCCTTTCTTGTACGTTGCAGCCTGGAGAATCCCCTGGACAACAGTTCAAACTGCTAGAGTGACAAGGAGCCGGTAACACACAGGGAAGTCGACAGGTCGCACTCACGCTACCCCGAGGGCCCTGCCTGAGGAGCAGCAAACACTGACACTCGGGGACAGTGGGGTCACGCCCACCGCGCTCTGAGGCGAATGCACCGCACCGAGTCCACTCGATCGAAGGCACGCACATGTAAGAACGCAATAGCATCGGAGCCCAGAACCTTTACACGGTTTACCAGCTGCCAAACCAGAAGCACAGTCAGTGACGCCACCACTTTGGGACCAGCAAAGAAAGGCTAAGGATGGGGGACACGTCCCCAAGGAAAACCTGACAAAGGAAGAAAAGCGCCACTGAGCCTAGGAGGGCGGGTGGCCCTTTGAGCAGCCCCTGGAGACCCCCGAGAGAGGTCGCGCTTGATTCTGCCCTGGCCGGATCGCAGCACCACTAGGAAAAGACCGGAAAGCAGAGTCCTCGGTTGTCCCTCCAGGATCTCGCAACGCTACCCCAGCTGCCCTCCGCAGCTCGCCGTCCACGCGCATCGTGTCGCAGGGTGGGGACGCCCAACACTCTGGCTCAGGCGGGGCTCTCCTCAGCCGGCTGCGCCCCCGCCATGCACGAGCCCCGACTCACGGTCACCCTCGGCTTCCTCGACCCCTGGAAGCGAACCAAGCACCGCACGTGAGGCCCCGCGCACCTACCGCTCAGGTCGCTGTTGGAGACGCGCAGCGCCGTGTTCTCAGACTGCAGGGAGCGGCTCTTCTCCAGCAGCAGCACCTCCAGGGGCTTGGCTGCGTCCTGGACGGGGCAGAGCAGGGCTCACCACGGGGCCAGTCTCCCACGGCCCGGGACCCCACCCCCACCCCTGCTCCCCACGACCCCCGCCTCTCAAGGTGTTCAAAGGGGGCTGAACACCTTCACACCCCCTTGAAGAAAGAGTGAATTTCCGGTGAGGCAGTTTTTCTTCCTAGGCTCATCTGGCTTCTAGACAATTAGTCATTCTCTATTCTGTCCCCAAACTCCAGCAGTCTAAGCTGGGGCCTCAATCAGCAGCAGGACTGGGGCACAACCGCTGTCAAAAAGCAATCGTAAACTTTCTTGTGCCAGCTATGATGACGTGTGCTGTCTTCTGGGAATTAGGAGCAAGATTCCACTTATGTTGTAATTTAAAAAAATGAATTTTTAGGGTCTCCCTGTGTTGCTTAGGCTGAACCTCAATGCCTTGGCTCAGACCCTCCTACCTCAGCCTCCTGAGCAGCTGGATTAAGGCATGAGCAGAGGTACCCAGCTTCACAATGTGAATTGTAGGCGGCTACAGATGACAGGCTGCTGCTGTCACCCAGCCCCCACACCTTCTGGGGCGGTGCTCAGGGACTGCGCCTGAGCCCACCTACTGGAGGATGATCTTCAGCTCGACCTGAAGTGGTTTTACTTGTGGACTTATGGGTGCTGGGAAGGGATCTCAGGCCTCAGGTTGCTCAGTGCTCCACTACTGAACCGCAGGGCTGCCCAGGGGGCTTCTTGTCCCTGTCCTCAGGGCCCACCCAGGTGAGACCACACCTTACTGGCACCAGCCAGCTGTCTGCAAAGTGCTAACTTGCTCCTTTTAATTAAGGATTGTCTGCTTTCAGTGGCCTGAAGTTTCTTGAAGAACGACTCCTGGGGGTAAGTGAGAGGCCTCACATGGGGGGCAGTGCAGTGTCATGGGCCCTGAGCAGAAATGGAGAGGCGTACCTGCGTCCCAGCTCCCTCAGCCGGCGCAAACTCCATGGACTTCAGGATACTGAAAGAGCAAGACAAGACACTGTTTTCTACTTGGACCTTTGATCCGCCACGCTGGAGAGCATCAGCACCACCATCTCCTGCTCTCCAGGAACAAGGAACTGACAGCTTGAACAGTGTCCCTGGCAGGAATTTAATCTGATAATGTCTCTAGAGTAACTAGTATTCAACTAGCAGTTGGCTACCGAAACTTTTTTGCCCAGCATGTAAATCATTCCATATGGAGTCACACCAGGTCTGTGCCGAGCAGGATTTTAAAGTTTAATACAGACATCACGTTGCTGCTGCGAGTGGAATGTATTTGTAAAGCTTAAAGGGAAAGAAAGTTCTCCCAAGGAAGCCAGAGAGGGGAACTCACTACCCACTGGCTACTGCCCATGTCCTTGCTAGGCAGCCACTGGAGACCCAGGGAAACAGATCAAGATGGCTCAAAGGCCAGGTGAGCACCTCCTCTGCAGCCCCAGATCTGGGAAGGAGCCCAGAGGCAAAGGTGTGGTGATGGGAGGCTTGCCACTCCCCTGTCCTGGGCAGCTCTGACCCTACGGTCACTTGGGCTCCCCGACTCTCCACAAGCTGGGGCTGAGTGAGGTCTGGCCCTCAGAACTGCTGTTTCTCCCATTCCTTTCTTTTTGCCAGGACCAGGAAGGAAAGGGGAAGAGAGTCTGTGGGGCCCACGGGAGCTGCCAAGTGCTCGGCCGGGGTGGGCTGGCTACTGGGGAGGTCACTACTCGCAGGGATACAGCGAGTCCACAGGCCCCTCCAGCATCCTGCAGCCATGAGCCCAGCTTCCGCCCATCTGAAGCCCCACGAGACTGTCATCCAGACACCAGAACGTGGGAGGATGCTGCCATCAGGGCACAGGGCACAGGGCCCGGAGCCTGGAGGCCACCCTTGGCCATGGCCATGGGTCAGTTAAGAGTCAGCCCCTAGTTCATCTGTACCTCTGCAGGGATCCTCGCCATGTAATTAACAAACACAGGGATGAGGAACAGCTGGTAACTTTATCCTGTGTTACTGAAAATAATAAAAGAATTCTGGACCCCTCGGGTCACACAGCACAGGTCACGAGTGGCCAGGACACACTCCTCTGTCCTCAGAGGGCTTCATGGCACTCACAATCACGCATCTGCCCCTTGTTTGACATCTTCTAGGATCGTGTGATAAAAGGCTAAGCCAGTCCGTAAGTTCATACAGGCTGAGCATCCCAAGTCGGAAAACCAGAACCCTTTGAGTGCCCCAAGTGGCAAATTCCATGCTGTGGAACTTAATTTCATGCACAAAATTATTAAAAATATTGCATAAAATTACCTTTTGGGCTACATAAAGAAGATGCATATGAAACAAATGAATTTCACATTTAGACTTGGGTCTCCTGCCCAAGGTATCTCAGTATGTATATACAAATATTTCAGAATTCAAAATCCAGAATACTTCTGGTTTCAAGCATTCGAACAAAGGATACCCAACCTGTACTGAAAACACAAACGTCTCTACGTTTATATTCAACAAATATTTCTCAATCACCTGTTGTGTGCCTGGCACTGTGGAAAGTCAGAATTTTCTGAGTCCTGATCTACACCCCAGGAAATGTGCAGGCAAGAAGCAGGGTGGCCTTGGCAGGAGAAGGGCCTTGGAGGAGCAGGAGGTTTTACAGGCCACTCCCGTGGGTGGACCCGGGAGAGAAGGCACAGCCTGTGGAGGCAATGGAGGTGGGGCTGGGACAGGGAGGGGAAGAGGACTTGGGCCTGTGTCCGAGGGCACCTGGTTTATCAGGAAGAGGGAGATCAAGAGCACATTTCAGCAGAAAAGTTCCCCAAGAGGAGCTTTCAGACCCGGATACGGTGGTGGGGGCCATGGTCAGATGCAACAGAGGGCTGCTGAGAATGGACAGGCAGACCAGGAGCCTCGGTACCAGAGGAGGGGCGGAGGACCAAATCCCAGGGTGAGAGGGCAGGGACTGGCCAAGGCTGTCACAACACACTGGCTCAAAGCTAGAAGGTCCAATTTCTTTTCTTCTTCTTTTTTTAAAAAAACTATATATATTTTTAAGTCAACCATGTCAAATGTGTCCCTGAGCTGAAATGGGGTGGGGGCAGTGCAGTACTGCTGGGGCTAGAACCACAGAGGGTCAAAAGGTCCATCCAGAGGTGCCAGTAGAGGTTTTCTGCAGCCTGAGAAGGGTCACCTGTGCTGGTACAGGAGCCCAGGGGAACAGCAGAGTCCTGGAGGACGGTGTGACCAAGAGAAGGTCAAAGAGGCCTGAGGGAATGGAACGGATAGAAAACAGGGGACATAGGGGGATGGCCACTTAAAGGAGAAACTGAAAATGTCTGCAAGACAGAGAGTGGCTGACAGAACCAAGGAGCAGGCAGGAGCGGGGAAGGAGGGGACCGAGGCCCAGGTGGAAGGGTCACTTGGAGAGATGGGAGGTGGAGCCCAAGGAGAGGAGGAGAGATTCTGGCACGTGGCTGGCACAGTCCATGAGGAAGAGGATTAGGGCGCCTGTGCAGAGGCCCATCAGGGAGCAACTGGGGGAGAGCAGAGGAGGCCAAGGAGCCCCGGAGCAGCCGAGGTTGGCCACACACCACCGTGAGACCCACGCATCTGTGCAGGCCACTGGGAACACCGTGGCAACTTCCCTGCAGCGCTGCGTGAGAGAGAATGGTGGAAACCAAGGGAAAGGCCAAGGGAACTGTGGGCACCAAGGGCTGTAGGCTGGGGTAGGCCAGGACCTGGGAGCTCCAGGGTCCAGGAGGGAGCTGGCCCAAGGGTGGGTATCAGCACTGGGGGATGACCAGTTCCCAGCTGAGGCCTCACAGAGGGGGATGAGGTCTGGGAGAAGGAGGCCCTGGTGGAGGGAGGTCACGTGCACTTTCGAGTGGAAAATGTCCCCCTCCTCATCTGCCTGCTCAGGGGATTTACACCTGTGAGACAAACTCCAGGGTGATCATTTCTATGAAGGTGGTATTTCCCTGAATGTGAGCCCACTGAATACTTTACGTACACCAAGCCTTACAAAAAGGCCACAGAATTCCAGGAGTGGCCCCAGTGCAAACATCCACAGCACCAGGCCCAGGACACTGCAGAGGCAGAGCCCTGGTCCGTGTGCGGGCAGCTGCCCGACGCTGCATGACCTGTTAGCAAAGGGTGCCAGCGAGCACCGTGTGGGAAGGCCCACGGCCATTTCCATACTCACTTCAGTTCTTTCTTCACCTCCTCATAGTCGGCCTGGCCTTTGAGTTTTTCTTCCAGTTGCTGAAAACAGAGAGGAATTTGATTAGTGGTCCCGTCTGCAAGTAGGTAGACGATGTCAACGAGCACACTCCTGTAGAACACGCCCCTGAGTTGGGAGGCGACCCTGCACACACGGAGGCCGACAGCCTGGGTGCCATCGTTCTGACATAAAACTGAGGGTGAAAGGAAAAAGCTTCCCTGAGGTGGAAAACAGAATGAGGAGACTTTTATTCTGGACCAAATACCAGGAAATAGCAAACCGAGGCACAGATGTGAGCCCAGCATTTAGAGAGCAGCGTGTTTTCAGCAAGTGTGCTCTGCTGGCTGGTGTGCACAGTGGCTGAGGACACCTTGGCTGGGACCCCTGCTAACAAGACAAGCACTTTGCTGCTGAGTGTTGACATCACGCAGGCACTGGGAAGAGAGCATTTGTGCTCCTGGAGCCCAGGATATTGGGGTTTGGGGAGTGGATGCCTATTTTCTGGGTAGTTAGGGGTTTCCCTGAGAGAGACCTGAGTCCTGCAGGGAGGCCTGCCAGGGACCCTACAGCCCCCATGGTCCTGCGGGGAGGGACAGCACATTGTCAAGGTGTAGTGCTGCCCACAGCCCTGCCAGGCTTTCTTGCTGGGAAGAGCTGTTGGCATAGGGTGGATCAGTCGAGGGCACTTCCTTCTACAAAGGTGCTTTTGGCCTCCTCCAAAGGGAGCCTGCTGGGGCAGCTCAGCAAATGCTGCAGAACCCAGGGCAGGACCCTGCCAGTCCATGCATTTCCAAGCTCAAGGGGCATGAACTCCACTTTCTGAGGTGCCAGAGCCTTCCTGTCTGCAGGGTTTCTAGGTGCTCCTTTAGGCTGTCCTTAATTCAGACCATTCTGGAATCTGGGACGCCCTTCTGGAATCCACAGTGAGTGGCTGTCCTGAGGATGCAGGCGCTCTGCAGCCACGCCCACTGTGCTGTCTCCTGCTGCCTCCACCAACAATCTCTTGCGCATTTGTTTTCTGTTGCATAAGATTGCTCTCCTAGTTCCCTTTAAGATTTCTCGCCAACTTTATGTATTATGATGGTTTTCTCAGTCATAATCCAATGGGGGGTAGTAGGCACTCATTTTCCCACAAAAGACTCTCAGAAGGTGCTCCCAAAGAAGTGATTATTCCATTCTCTTGCCTGTAGTCAAGTGGCAGGAGGCACTGACGTGACAGCCCTCCCTTGCAGAGATCATCCAGTGTGGCTGAGAAGCAAAACACGTGGCAGAGCGTGGAGCTCACTAAGGCCAGACACAGACACGGGCCGCTGGTCAGAGCCAGAGAGTGGAAGGGACAGGGAGGAAGGGAGGCAGTGGGGCACTTACCCTGCAGCCCCCACCTATCACGCATAAGCTGGGTGTCTCTGGGCAAGTTAATAAGCCTCTCACAAAAAATAGGAACAACACAAGGACCTCAGAGGCCTCCACAGGCCGGGAACAGGGCAGGTGTGGCAGCTCTGTTCCTCATGCTGGGGCTGTTACTGCTGGCACACAGATCACAGGAGGTGTGGCCGCAAGTCTCCTCTGAAGACCTGTGACTGGTTCTGATCAAAAGGTTAGGAATGGGATGTGCACATTTTAGACAGTTTTGTCAAGAGCTGAAGAGCATCCACTGACATCTCTGCTGCCTGCCTGGGGCAGCTGGTGAAGAAGGCCCCAGTACCTCTCTTGCCACCCTCTGAAGGCATTTCTTGTCTTGGGCAAACAAGCCTGGGGAGGATGCCTGGTCTACAGAGCACCTACAACCTGACCACCTGGCGGTCTCCTTAGAGAAGACCTTGCTTGGGCACCAAAACTCAAGACCACCCTGGAGGAGGGGGTGGGCCGCAAGGATACCCACGCTCCTGCGGATCTTGAACCGAGACTTGGGGCTACGGCGGACCAGGTAGGAGGAGCACACGGCCCTGCAGCAGCTCTGGCCGCTAAGTGCAGACAGGCAACAGAGGCAGCTCCCGGCCAAGGTCACCAAAGCAGAACCTAGGGACTGTGGTATCTTCCCAGAAGAAAGCACAAACAGCCCTTCTTTAAACTGGTGGGCTTCGCAATGTTTCGAGGGCAGCAGTGTCGGGTAGGAACTGCCTTGTTTTGAACTTGGCTCTCTTCCTAGGTGAGTGACTTGTAGTAGGATACTTTCTCGTGACATGACGCGGGGCAGTGGCAGTGAGCCGCAGCTCCCAGTTATTGCTGCCATCTTGAGGGGCAACACCCACAGCCCCCAGTGTACCGCAGTGCTGAGCTGTGGTGTCTGCTGGCGTGCCAGGAGCACTGGGCCTGGCCATGGACACAGGGGGATGGGTCCAGACGTGAGAGGAGCTTAGGAGCCAGACTTTGGGCTGCCTATGAGCTTGGGTGACTCAACTTGGGGAGAGGCAGAACTGACAGGGGCTTCTGAAGGACAGTGATGAGGATGCAAAGGACCTGCCGCTCCCCACGACCCCGTCCACACTGTGGCTGAGTCAGTCCATCCACGGTTCCAGGAACATAGAGGAGCTCAACGGCCCTCTCAGCTGCTAGGACTGTCTATCCTAAAATCCCAGCTATGACGTAAGTCATAAGCAACTTGATTTAAAGTGCCAAGTACTTGGGCATGCAGCAAGCGAGGCACGCAATTCTAAAAGACTTGTATCTCACTCAAGTCAGAAAACATGGTCCTTGGTGCTTTGGGGCTACTGGCAAAGACCTGTGGTGTATCAGACCCCTGCAAGAAGGGCACAGAGGCCACATCCCTGGGGCCACTGTGGGTGGGATGGTGTCTGCAACACAGGAGCAGAGCTCGGCTCTCCGCAGCGCTTGCCTGTACCCCTTGCTCTGGGGACACTGCCTTTCTGCACCTCCTTTCCAACTGAAGGGAGGCCCTCTCCTTAGGAAAACCCACCCCCATGATTGCTGGGGAGAGGCAGCAGTTACGTACAACTGGGCTCTGTCTACACTGGCCCCAGGTGAGGAGCCCAGGGTCAGCCTGGTGCCTGGATAGTGAGTCCCTGTCTTTCTGGAACCTTCTGAACACCGCAGCAGATGCTGTACGTGCCGTGGAGGGTGCTCAGAACACAAGAGGAGGGGAGAGCCATCTTGCCACAGCCAGATGGTGGGGACAGGGAGGGTGACATTGGAGGGCTTGCTCTTACCCTTGGAGGCTCAGGTTAGAGTGGACAGAGGAGCAGGGCCAAGGAAGTGTGGAGGAGGGGCCTCTGCAGAACAGACAGGTCACCTCTGTCTTTCAGTGGCCATGACCCAGGTCTGACTTGGGCCCTGGGCAGGTGGGACCAAACTGCTTGCAGAGCAGAAGGGACCTGGCTCAACATCAGGCCACCTCAATGGTGCTCTTCACAGTTGGGGAGGCGGCTACTAAGCTGGGCTGTATGTGGGCTACAAGGGTCACTTCACTTGGGGAGCAGGGCCGGGGTGCTGAAGCCCACCACAGACTCCCGCCCCTGATGGGCTCCCCCAGGCACTGCAGAGATGCTCACAAGATTTTACAGGAATCTGCTGATGTCTTGTTGTTCTAGCTGGCCAGAGGCCACCTTGGTTCTGAGGTGGCACTCTGGGATGGCCTCCGGGGTGGTCCCCTGGGGCCTCACCCCCTACAGGCAGGCAGCCCCTGCCTCTGCATCAGGGCCCCACACAACTCCCTCCTCACTCCTTCCTTCCTCAGACCTGCTCTGTGCCTTCAAGACCCAGCAAGGACAGTGCCAGTGGAGTCATGTGCTCTGGACGCCATCTCAGTGACCCTGGGCGACCCTCAGTGATATTTGATGTCAGAACTAACATGTGCCACTCTGAGGGTGAGGCTTCTCTTCTCAGTCACCTGCTGGCTGATGGTGGCTAAAGGGCGCAGTGTCAGACTAAGTCCCCCTCCACAGCCACAGGATGGACACTGGGCCTGGCCTCCCTGAGCAATGACCATCTTCCTGCCTGTTTGCAGGACTAGTGTCCAAAGGGGCTTGGTCATAGTCCTTTTTAAAAATAGGGGTCTGTATCCACGGCTAGAACCTCGCAGAGGGAAGCCTGGGCGGAGAACAGCTGGAGCATCAGGCGTCAGGCCCATACCACTGGGTGACGAGGCCATGTGCCCCAAGGGGCAGCCTCCACAGGCAGGAGCAGTGAGTCCAGGAAGGGCCACCATCTGTCTCCCACTCCAGTGCCTGAGGGACACAGCAGACTCCCACAGTAGCTCCATGGGACCCATCAGAGCCTGAGGAGGTGGGGGGCGTGGGTGGGAGCATGTGCAGTTGGGAAAGACCCCCAGGTGATGCCAACACACCTGCCCACTGCCTCAGTGGGAAGAAGTGACCTTTAGAGTATCTTTAGAGAATGCGACTTCTCCTCGCGGGGGAGTGGCACTCCTTAGCTAGCCTTCCTCATAAATACCCACTTTAAATTGCAGCTATTGGTGGCATTATTTTCTCTGCCGCATCGAGCCTAATGCAGGTGACTGTCTAATTATACTGCCTCTGTATGAGAATGTTCCGACAGAAAACCACCGAACAGAGAGTTATCAAAAATAGCAGCCTTATCACGGCGGTGGGGTTATTTCATTAATTACCAACACAGAATCATCCTCTCCAAAAGGCGCTGTGCTTGAGCACTTGTCAGATTGGGCAAGAAGAAACACCTCCCCCTTCAGAGCCTGCCGCCATGTCTACTTAAGGGTCAGAGGCTGCACCAGGAGATGTGGAGATGCGCTTGGAACTGTGCTGGGTCATGCAGAGCCCCGGCAGGGATGGTGGTCAACGAGCAACCTCCAGAACCACCGCTCACCTGTCCAGGTGGAAGGAAGGAGTCTTGGTGGGAAAAAGATGGGCAGGTTCAGTGTGCGAGAGCACTACGGGTAGTGCCGCAGGCTGTGTGGGTGGAAAGTACTCAAGAATCCTGCCCACAGAGCCCTTGCCTGTGGAAGGCTCCCTCTCCCCAGGTGACTGCCACAAGCATGTGGGCATTCGTCTCAAAGATCCAGGACCCTCAGCCAGACGCTCATGGCAAGGCCACCTGCCATTCTAGAGAACCCAGAGTTGCGTCAGAGGCACAGCACCCTTTGACAAATAGCACCCCAGTTGTAGCCCCCACTGTGTGTCCTGGAGCCCCAACGCTGGCAAACAGCCAAAGGAGGAGAGAACGCAGAGGAGAGAGGGCCATGCAGCCAGGAAATGCCCGTGCTGGTTAGGAGAGTCCCGTCTCACTCTTGCTGGTTGCTGGTCACCGTCTCTGCGGGGTAAGAGCTCCTCAGGACAAGAGCATAGGGTTGCCAAGGTGACATTTTCCTAATAATTGTCTCTCTGCCTAGCTCAGGCTGCAGATTCTAAGTTACACACATTAGAAAGCACCCAGAGCCCCGAGAAGCCAGCCCATTCAATTACCCTCACCCCTTGGGGTGAGGGAGGTAGGTGTCCTCCTCTGAGAAAGGGGGATGCCCTGTGTCGGGTTTGCTCTCTGAGAAATCTTTACTCCTGGTGACAAGGGGTTAAGATAATTAAAATCAGAGCAGTCTCGTTATTAGAGGATATGTTTTGATTATCAGATCAGACGAAGAGGAGGGAGCGATGGTTTTTGGAAGAAGTATTGCTGAATTGTTTCATTAACTGCACAGTATTAAAGAATTTCCCCAAGATACGGATAAAGAACATTCATTTGTGAAACTGCGTTTCATTTTTTGTGAAGGCGAACATTAAAACCTTAACTGATTTAGAAGAAATTGCTCCATAATGAAAAATGGAAGGTCTAGAGTCTCCATGTCACGATGCCGTGTGTGGGAGGTGTCTGGGTGGCGCCCTGGAACCGTAACGAAGGGGAAGAAGGCAAATTATCTAATAACAATGCCACCAGGAGGGTCAGAAATGGTCTTAACATGAGAAAATTAGATTTAAATCTAGAAATAAAAAAGCGAGTCCTGGTCCTCATCGGGCAAACTGGTGAGAGGAAGGAGCACTGGAGATATAATGGCCACATTAAAGAAGGATGGGACCAGCTTCCGATGGTCTCCCCAGGTCCGCAGGGCCTCCTCAGAGGGAGCTGAGCACCTGGCAGTTTCTCAGAAAGTGGATGAAATCTGCCCCAAAGAGGCAAAGAAGAACCAGCAAGGGGGAGCTGCAGGTGGCCCTGGTCAGCGATAGACTTGTGCAAATTTGGTTCTGGGTCAAACCTGGTCATGTGTCAAGAAGCAATCTCCATTGGAAAAAAAAAAAAAAGGGCCTAACTCCATTCTAGAATCACTTTATGTAAGGAAAACTCTTCTTCTTCTCCTTCACGTCTTTTGTAAAATTTTGAGACAAGGTCTCACCACGTAGCCTTGGCTGACCCCTCACGCTCCCGGGCTCCTGCTCTCCTCCTGCCCCAGCCCTAGGACTGGGTGGCTGGGACTTAGGGGTGCACTATCACCCCGGCTTCATGGAAGTTTTACAACTGACCTTAATCCAACTCATTTAGTAGACAGTGAACAGAAACCAGTCAGTCTGTCATGCACTCAGTGAGGGAAAAACCTAGGCAGGCAGAACAGACTGGAGGGGTCCCCGCAGCAGAGCACAAGACCTCCAGCCTGCAGCTGGGCCCCGGCTCTTGTCATTCCTGCCTACCTGTTTGCCAAGGAAGATGCCACTCACCCTGGCTATGACCCCTAGCAATCTAGGGCCCCAGAGCTGTCTGCAGCGCACACTTGACTTTGCAGACTGTGGATACTTTGAAGTAGCATTACTATTATTTAAAGCATAAAAAAGGTTCTGGGTTCTGCACTTGGGATAGAGATTTAAGAGAAGGCCCTGGGAGCTAGCTTCTACTAGGCTGCCCAGTGAGTCCACTTGGGAAGAAAGAGATAACCTGCAGCTCTCTGAGCTGAGCCACTGGGCTGACCACAGGCTTGAGTGGCAAAGGAGTGTCCCCCAGATCAGGGTCAGACAGGGCCTTTGTGGAGCACTGTGCTTCCGTTTTTGATCCAAGCACAGGAAGAACCAGAGCTTTAGTGGGCGGGGTCCTCTCATCAGAAGTCTGCAGGCCAGCAGAGCTGGACCATGGTATGTCTACACAGATGGCCTCTGACTGTGACAACGCTGTCAGCTCCACGAGGGCACACATTAGCAGGTGGCGTTTCTACCAAGTATCAGGACAGTGGCTCCACATATAAGGAGTGACCCACTGAGAGGGACACGTGGTCCACGCAGAGCCTGCAGTGGGGTTTAGAGCACCATGCTTGTTGTCGGTGCCAGGCAGGCGAGGGTGCACCGCTGGGCCCCTGGGCCCCCTGCCCCAGCCCTTGCAGGGTCTGTACCTTGAGCGTGCTGTTCTTGGCACTCAGCTGCTGCTCCAGCTGGGAGATCTGGCTGGCCGAGTTCTCCCGCAGCTTGGTGAGGCTGCCCTGGAGTCTCTGCACGTCCTCCACCAGCTGGGCGATCTCCCTCTCCTTGGCGGCCAACTCAACTTCTAGGCTGGAGCGAGTCAGCACCTCTATGGCCTGCTCCTGCGGAGAAGAGGAGAAATGACAAAACCGCACTGGCCTTGGGCAGGTGCTGGGGGTTCCTGTGTGGGCAGTGGAGGGGCAGTGACCACACAGACCTCAGGTGTGCACGGTGAGCTCAGGGCAAGACACTGCTTCCTGCCTTGGCTTGCAAGTGACCTCCCCCACCTTCCCCTGCCACCACCCCATCTACATCCCTGGATTCCTTCATTGGACATTTTCCATGAATGCACCGAGTACCAGGTGCGCGGCAATGAACCACAGGACCAAAGTCCTGGGTGGTGACATGAGCCTCCAAAGCAAGGAGGCCAGGGCAGCCAGCGCTGGGAGAGGCCAGAGGCTTTACCAAATGGTCAGGGAAAGTCTCACTGAGCGGGGGATTGGGAGCCAGGATCTAAGGAGGTGTGGGGGGCAGAGTGCTCCTGCCCGGGGAGCAGGAAGCAGGGCGGCTTGGGTGGGAGCCAGGATATTGCTCCAGAACTTGTGTCTTCTACCGCACACTGCGATTTACTCTCCTTTGGATTCATTATTGAGTATCCACAAGCTGAGATCTCGGTTTGACAAATTTGACCCTTAGCGTTCACATTCCCCAAGAGTTAAAAGATGGGAGAAGCACACTTGGGGTTCCTTTACTTAGAAACAATTGAGTTGTTTTCTTTCTTTCTTATTTTTCCAAAGAAACTTACTCTTTCCTTTCTCTCCAAAATGGTCAGCATGGGAAACACCCAGAGGAGAAGGTATTCTAAATAAAGTCACGTGTGATTCTGCTTCCCGACGACTTGAGCAGGGCTTGTTAAGTTTTAAAAGTAACCTCAGCTTCTGAACAATCTTGGGCTTTTCACAAGGAGATGTGCTTCTGGGCACAGCCAATAGGGACAGGGGACAGGGCTCCAGGCACCCTGAGAGCAGCTTAGGGTACAGCATGGAATGCCACCACCCTGGCCCTTCCCCACTCCTGAAGCTCATGGCTTCGAGCCTGGATCTTGCCTGTGCTGGGTAGAGAAGGGAGGTGAAGATGGCAGCTGTGGCCCTGGATGCCAGGAACAGCTGTGCCACGCATGACATGCTTATCCCAGGGTTTCCACGTCTGGGACTGGCCACTCTCCAAGGAAGTACCTCTTCACACCTCCCTGGGCAGTTCAGACTTCCAGTGTGCAGTGCCCAGGAGTGGCTCCTCTGTCTCTTCGCCTTGCTGGATGCCGTCCATCATGTAGCTTACCACCTTGACCTCTGGCAGGGGTCCCAGGGTCGCGAGCATCTCTATGACCCAACCATTCCATGTGGCCCATGTCCGTTGGGCCACTGCCAAGTCACCAATGAGCACAGCGAGTCCAGTTCAGAAGTTGGGAGTCAGTGTTGGAAACTGAGGAGCCAACTGACATTTTGGTGATGTTTTTACTGTCTTTTATCAAACTATCAGTGTGTAACAGAATGGAATTTAAAAAACAAAAGTGTCCTTTATCCCAGGGCTTGGAAAGCACCATCTGGGTGCCACTAGGTAGTCTGGCCCCTGAGGGGCTCTGGAGCAGGGAGGAACATGGTAGCAGGGACACAGGCCCAACGGCAGGTGCAGACAGAACCACTCCGTTTATGAGCCTCCCACTGGGGGTGCCTGCCACCAATGCTGCCTCCTCTGCAGTCTATGGAACCAGCCGGAAGGGGTCTGGGCTTCACATCAGGTAAGTTCAAGTTGTTGAATCAGAGATAGTGGTTCAAGTAACTGTCTAAAGCTCAGCAGCTCCTGGCACTGGCCCTGGGCCCAGCTGGGGACCTGGGAGTAGGCAGTACTGAGGGCCATCCACTGAATTTCTGGGGGCCCACCTGGCCTGGCCACAGGGCTGGGCACATCAGCTGATTCTCGGAACTGAAGTCACAAATTCCCTCGAAAAAGCAAAAAAGCCCAGCTGCCTCCCCTAGGCAGGAGGCCTTGAGATGGCCAACCTCAGGGCAGTAAGACCTGGAGGTGCAGCAGAGAAGAGCACCCCACTCTGTGGCCCAGCCCATGGCTCCCTGTCTCCCAGCATGGGGGTACTCCTGGTGGTCCCATCGTGAGGACAGAGGGAGGAGGAAGAAAGAAACAGAAGGGTCCAGGGGTGACCAGGTGCTGCGGTCAGGGAGAGTGTGGGCCTGATGATGAAGCTGAGGCCGGGGAGGGCACTGGCACAGCTCTGGATGGAAATCCGGGCGGCAGAGTGAACAAAGAGGTCAGGGGCCCAGTGGCAGGCGGTTATGCCATCCAGCTCACGACCCAACACATAACCCTCCGTGGTCAAGGAGGGCCAGGGCCACCAGCGCCTTCACCTCAGAGGCTCTACCCAGCTGCAAGGGGATCAGGAAATGCGAGTGTCAGGGTTACCTGGAGCCGGGAACTCAGCGCCCGGGGCAGGGCCCAGGCTCCCCTTGTGATCCCGATGGGGCTCAGGGTGAGACCCTGGCTCAGGCGCGGGGCAGGAAATCCCCGGGTTCTTGGTTCCAGGACCCCCAGGGCATGCTACTTGCCCCTCGGGCTCCGGTGGCTCAGGTCCCGGCAGGACATGCAAGGGTACTTAGCTTGGTCTGAAGGTACTGGCCCCGGAAGGGCTTCAGTGACGAGCACGCTCAGAGGGGAAAGTGAACACCAGAACAGGTCCCTGGTGTGGGTGTCCTTGGTGTGTCCCTTTGAACCTATCCCCGTCCCTGGCTCCTAAGCACAGTGCTGAGACCAGAATGCTGGGCCTGACCCAGTGGGCGGTCACCTTGTGTCCAGCAGCCACCTTCGTGGTGATGGTGAGTGAGCCGCAGGGGCAGGTTCTGGGTCAGGAGAGCTAGCTGGGGAGGAGATGGTGGCCCGGGTCTGGGATGGAAGTGCTCTCTGGAGCTGGGCTGCCCTTTCAGTCTTGTCCCCTCACCGGGAGGTGAGGCAGCAGGAGTTGGCTTGGCTTCTCCTCCTCATGCCACCTGCTCCTGCCTCCACCTCGAGAGCCAGCTGGAGTGGGTGGTGGGATGGAGGTGGCCCTCTTAACAGGGCAGCTTGCCTAGTCTCCAAAAAAGGGGGCTGTGTGCGGTGTCCAGAGCACTGCGCCCTCGTTTGTCTGCAAACCCTCCACTAAGGTCTCTGTGGACCTGCCTTGCTTGCAGCCCATGATGGGATGGGAGGGGGATCAGGAGAGTGGCCTCGAGCAGGAAGGACTGGGTCCATACTCCAGCTTTTTTTTTTTTTTTTCAGCAGTGTTGGGGATGGAACCTAGGGCCTCATGCATGCTAGGCAAGCACTCTGCCACTTAGCTATGTCCCCAACCCTTTTAAAATTATTTTGAGATGGGGCCTTGCCCAGTTGCTGAGGTTGGTTTTGAACTCGTGATCCTCCTGCTTCAGCCTCCCACGTAGCTGGGATTACAGGCGTGTGCCACTGTGCCAGACCGACTTGGTTGTTTCCTAGTGTGTGACGTTAGGAAAGGTAAGCTCCTCTGAGCCCCAGTTTCTTTACCTGTAAAATGACAATACACAACTTCCCTCTCCTGACTGTGATGTCACCAGGCAGAAATGAAACACGGAGGCAAGGCTCTACTCACTGAGTGTCTGCGCACCTTCTAGGACCGTGGTTCTGCTGAGACGCCCATCATGTCGATTTTGGCCTCTGCTAGATCTGTGGACTCTACTGTTCAGCGGCTGAGTTCTGCCGGCCAAGCCCAATAGACCATTTTCCGCTGGCCTGGTTTCTGTGTTGGCTGGAGCCTCAGCTCGCAGCCTACAGAGGATGTGGAGCCAGGGACCCGCTCCTGGAAGGCTGAGTCAGTGCCAGGTAAACACTGCGCGAGCCAGTGATGAAGTGTGTACACGCCCCGGACCCGCGATGCACTCTACCTGCGAGAACATTCATTTCCTTTTGAAATGTTTTGGTCGCTGCAGTCCAGGACGGTGCCAGAATTCTTTTCAATCAAAACATTTAGCTCAGGAGCCGTGAGACATGTTAGGATAGACGGCTTCCTCTACAGCCCCGAGGACGGCCACAGAGACCGGGGGAGCTGCCAGCCCCAGCACCCAGGGCCTCCTCCCGCCTCAGCCCTGGTGTGTACCCGGTGCATCTGAGCTTGGGTGAGGGACAGAACAGCCTCTTGGACATCTAAGTTCAAGGTATCAAAGACCATGAATTACGAAGGTGCGTTGGTGCCTTGAATGGGAACTTTTCTCTGTGTCCTAAAACGCTCCAGTCTCACGCTGCATCTGATGTCAATGTAAAGAAAGAAAACTAAAATCGATTCTTATTCTTTTTTTTTGTCTTTGTAGTGCTGGGGATTGAGTCCAGGGCCTCGTGTGTACTGGGCGCACTCCACCTGAAAACCCCAGCCCTGTAAGTATGAATACATACCAGCCCAGCCACAAGCCATTCTTAAAAGAAGGAGTCCTGGCACCAGCCATTTGCTCTAGGTCCAGTCCTGGTGATCACTTAAAAGCTCCAGTCTCAGGTGTCTGAGGAGCCAACTGAGTCCTGGCTCAGCCACTGACCGTGCTCTGGGGCCAGCTGTTGACACTCACTGGGTTTCGTCTCCTCCTCTGGGTAAGGAAACAGCAACGCCCTGCTTCACAGGTTAGTGGAATACTGGCTGTCACGAGGGACTTTCCACAGCAGCGAGTTTTCCCGAGATTGTGCTCTCTGTGGAGGGCCCGGTCCTGTTCCTCCTCACTACCCCAGTGCCCCTCACGCCAGGCAGCAGCAAGGGCTCCGCGAGTCTTTGTTAAATCGAAGGACACCTGTGACTGCCAGGGACTCACTGTGGCCATCAGAGCAAAGGGGCCTTAGTTGGGATCACTTAATCCAGTGGTGGAGTTCTGTGTCGTAGCCTTGGGGTCAGGGAGCATGGCACCAGCCAAAGAAGGGTGCCCGCTGAGGTTCACTGAGGTCTGCGAGCATGGCAGACATAACTTCCTGACCTCAGGAGACCAGTCTTCATGGGCGGACAAACAGACTCAGGGAAGCTAAGTCGCTGTCCCCAGCTGATGGACACAGAGCAGGGAGGTGACTCTGGGCTCCAACGCCTGGGGCTCAGCCACCACACTGCACCAAGCCGAAGGAGTCTGGGAACCTGATGCTCAAAATCTCCTTGACCATGCTGGGGAAGCTGTGGCTATTTGTTACCTTTAGAAAAATCGGGCAAAAGGATGAGACTCATGCCTTGCTCCCCCTGGCTGTGTGTGGCTGGCAAACTCAGGGTGAGCTGCTATTCTACACCCCCTTGGGTTTCTGGATCACTGTGGACTCTCCCCAAGGAAGGTTGCCCCAGAAGGACAGACCCTCGACTGCCCTGTGGAATTCTGGGGAGGCTCCCCTATGCACCCCGCAGCCCCCAGCAATGACCCAGGCTGGGCTGGGGAGGAGCCCTCAGCACTGGGGAGGCATCAGGCCGGCCCAGAGGCTGCGGTGTCTCCTAGCCTGGACCAGATTCTCCCTTCAAGTTGTTAAAAGTGCAGCACTGGTGCAATGTTATTCCAAAAGAGGCGTCAAAACCCCCAGGAAGAAAGGCCCCAAGGCGAGGGCGCCGATGCCCGGGCGGAGCACCCCAGGCGAGCTACCCACCACATCCGGCGCCTTCTGGATCTGGGAGGCCAGCTGGAGAGAGTGGTTGGCCGAGGAGAGCTGCTCCCGTAAGGTCTCCGCCTCTCGCTGAGCCACCTCTGCCCTCTGAAGGAAATGAAAAGGGGCGAAGAGAGAAAGTACACCCGGTTTAACAACTGACAATTATTACAAGAACATTCATCAATTCATGCCTGACTGACTATAATTGATTTTCCTAAACACTCAACCTAATAAATGCTCGGGAAAAAACATAGAATGTGATGGATTTTTATTTTAAACAGTACAAGGAAGAAATAATTGAGCGATTATGACAGTAATTTAACGCTAGGAGCAAGGAATCCCCTGCTGATACTAATGCTCCGGCCCACTGAATTTCCCAGACTGAATAAATACCAGTGGAAATAGAGCCTTCTGATTCAATTTCTTTCTATTCTCATAGACCGAGAAGATTTTATTGCAGGATTCCTCCTGGGAGTAATTCTCACGGGTAAACAGTGAATTAAAGACACTTTGGCCATTCTCGCCTTAAAACCAGGCGGTGCGGTGGCTCCTTTCCCCCAGTAGGCCTGGCCATCCCCAAGCCGGGTGGAAAGGCCACTTCTTTTGTGAGGGCTGGACTTTCTTCAAGCATTTTTAACCCTTCACCAGGCATCGTTTTTGAAAATCAGTGCTGGGTTTTCAGCCGGCCAGGTCAGCCTGGGGACAGTGGAGGGTGGGTAGCCAGGGCCAGCACAGATGGTGGCAGGAGAAACGTGTGGCCCTCCATCATCTGCTATGACCCAGGACAAGGAAACCACCTCTGCTGCAAAGCCACCTTCCCATTGCATGGAGAGGACAGCTACGCCACTAGAGGGCTCTGGGGATGGGCCCCTCTGAGCCTCCACCTACCCGTCTGTGCGACGGGAACACATGCCTTCTCCAAGGCCTGGCGAGGTCCTGCCATGGACACTCAGCACGCGGGGCATGTGCAGAGGCAGCCTCTCAGGCAGCTCACCTGGGCTTCACAGTTAGGTTTAAGACAAAGCCCCAAGGAGGGAAACAGCAGATGACGACATGGGGCACACGGACTGAGGGTGACTGCGCTTCCTCAGTCTTCTTTTTTTTTAGTTGCAGATGGACCCAGACCTTTATTTTATTTATTTATTTTAATGTGGTGCTGAGAATTGAACCCAGTCTCACATGTGCTAGGCACGTGCTCTGCCACTGAGCCACAACCCCAGCCCTTCTTCAAACATTTTGCAAGTGACATTCCACCAACAGAAGAGATCAAGGAGGAAAGCCCAGGTGAGCAGGGGTATTTTGTTTTTCTTATCTTGAGCTGTGACAGTGTGTGTCTATTATTTGCAAAGCAAGAACACAGAGAAGCAAGCAGCTGTCCTGCCCTGGTCCTCACAGGCCCATCTACCTGGATGAAGAAGGATTTGGCAGTCTCAGTGACTGAGCGGTGGCAGCCTTACACCTAACACTCCCCACACAGACAAACCAGGACTCCCTGAGCGCAGACGTGGCTGGCGGGCGGGTGGCCACCTGCCCTGCTGTATAGGAAACTCTTGGAAACCCCCTGAACCTAGTTCATGAGGTGCCTGGCCACGTGTCGGTGCCCAACATGTCCTTCCAGAGTCTCTGCTCCAAACACAACCCGGGCCCGGCCACTGGGAAAGGTGGCCACGTGCCTGGTGTGGTGAGGACAGTGAGGGCCATCTCGGTCCTTGGCGTCAGGGCTGTGGAGGATTTCCTTTTTAATGTCAAACATTTTCCTCAGTTTATTTTCAAGTTTCTCTGATCATTGTGCCACATGCCTCGAAGTATCGTCTTCCCTTGCTAGTCAGCTAAGCCCTCGGGCACAGCATCCCGTGACTCTCCAGGATGGAGGTGTGCTTTGACACCCTAAGTCCCTCTTCCTACGCCTGCAGGAGACTGTTCTGCAGCCAGCCAGGTGGAGCCACTGGCCTGACTGTGGCGCTAGTTTTTGGGTGGGGCTGGAAGGCCTGGGGGCGGGTTCAGGAGGCATCATCAGGAGAGAGGGATGGCCTCTGTGAAGGCCACGGCTCACAGAGCAAGAGACCTGACCAGCCACTGACCACCCTCCAGACTGTCCTGCGTCCAGTCCCCAAGTTCATGTATGATGGCTCCGGCCTGTCCCTTCCCAGTCACAGCTTCTCTGGCTTGACCTGGTTACTTCAGTGTGACTTTCTGGTTACTCCTTCATTTGGCATTTGGTTGATGTGGCTCATGTGGCTACACAGGCACAAGCCAGAAGAATCACAAGCATCGCAGGTGGAGGAGGGAGCGGGGGACAGGGAGAGAAGGCTGACATGCAGCCGGGACGACCCAGTGTCTGCAGTGATGGCTGCATTAGCTTGCATGGGCAGCTGAGGCACAAAGTGGTCCCCCTCCAGGGTGGTGCCACCTGTCTCAAGGTCTTCCTGAAGAAGTCACAGGGGTGATTTCTGATCTGACCCCAGACTTGGAGTGTGGCTGCTCAGAGCCATGGGGACATAGGCCACACTTCTGTGAGGCAGACTGGCAGCAGCCCTGGTCCTGAGTGAGTAGTGCTCTGCTGAACCCGGTGGTCCCGAGAGGCACCTCCTGCTGACCATCCACCTTCCTAAGGAATGGGGTAAACACCAGAGCGTGGGAAGCGGAGGTGAGCAAGAGGGTGAGCAGGACAGTGCTGGCCTTCTGGTGGCAGCCTTGACTGCCTGATAGAGAACAGCCACCGGGGCCGAGGGCCAGTGGGGCCCAGAAACCCAGGGCCAGCTATGCCCACCACACAGTGGCATGGCCCGTCTGGCCTCTTTATGCTGTCCTCGTCTCAGAATGGATGACTTTCTAAAGGGACACCACTGGAGTCCCTAAATGGGTCCTCGGTTATCCCCCGTCCCGCCACCTCTGCATCCACCTGGAGGGTAGGAAGGGGCCGAGTGGGGACAGCAAACTGAGTGACGATTCCCACCTCAGATGCTGACAGCCTAGCAGTCACAGGAGAGCTTCTGCTCCCTGGCCGGTGTCACACTGGATGATTCAGGGTGGGCAGCCTGAACTGCGGGCCCACAGTGCCACCTAAACAGGTCCATGGGAAATGCCTGACTCCCTGATGCCTGGCACACTCCTGGGGGCCAGATGGGCGCCCTGGAGGGACACACGTGAGAATGTGACCTGGGAATGGGCAGCAGCACCGGTCAGCAGTGTCCTAGGGCAGGGTACGGCAGAGGAAGGCAGGCCCAGGGCCAGCCTGACAGGGCGAGGACCAGCGGGCAGGGCTGGTGAGGCCAGACTCGGCCTGGCTTTCTCCGGATCGCAGCCCCAGGGCCAAGGCTGAGACAGAGGACCTGTGCTAGCTCAGGCCCCTCCCGGCCTCCTCCTTAGGAGCTCTGATTCCCTGGTTCTATTGGATGGTGATGGTGGCCCTAGGTTTCCTCTCTCCTGCTCTGTTTGTGTGTGGCCATCAGACACGGGCTTGGGCAGACCCAAGAGGAGCAAGACTCTAAGAGACCCAGCAGCCCTGCAAGCTAATGGGGGACCATGTCCCTCCACGGCATCCAGACTGCTGGAGAGAGCCCCTTCGGTGACTGCAGGGAGAGGTGAGGAGGCGCAGAGGAGAAACTCTGGTGCATGTGTGAGCGGTCACTGCACAGGCAGCATGCCAGTTCAGAGCCATGGCTGGTGCTGCCGGGGACACACTGGATGTTGAGGCTGCGAGGAGAGCAACACACCTGTGTACCTGCTGCATGTCACAGGCTGGGGCACGTTTCAGGAAAGCAAACAGCCTAACTCTGCCTGCCACACAGGTCCTCCACGTGTGCGCCTGACCTTGGTGGAAGTCTATTCATGGCGGGGGAACCCAAGGCTCCCAGGGGGCCTAAGACAGCACCATCATGTCCGTGGCTGGCTCTGTGGAAGGGCCCTGGACAGCCCGGGAGGCCAGCGTGTCCTCAGTACTAGGATTGGCCAATAGAGCCCCAACAGAGAAGCCCCAAGAGAGGCCTGTCCATGCAACAGATGAATGAAGCACTTCCCTCACTTCATGGACAGGAAGCCCAGGCCTGGGGCTGGGGATTTGCTGAACCAGGTGGGTGGGGAATGCCGGTGTCTGCCCCGGAGCCAGGCACCCTCGCCCATGGGAACGTGAAACCTGGCCCCAGAACGCAGGGCCTGCGAGTTCCTTCTGTTCTGCGCTTCTCTGCCCGGCTCCTTCTCCTCACTGAGGCTCCACTGAGGTTTCCAGCCCCAACCTCAGCCTGAAGGGTCTTCCCCGAAGGCAGTCTTGAGCCACGAAAACCAGACAGGTCAACAGGATCAGGACAGTTTGCTTAGATGGCTTCCTCCTCCCACTGCCCAGGCTGCCCACGACTTGAACCAGGGCTGCTGCGGGGAGGGACATCCAGCGCAGGGCAGACCTGGCGGACCCACCTCTGCTCCTCTTTACCAGAAGCCTCGGAGTTCTACACCTTTATGGTCACACTTAACACGGGAATATTAGTGCAAGGGCCTCGACGTCGGGCCAACAGGGGTCAAGGAGACCCTCCCTAAGGACAGCTGCTGCCTGGGTTTCCATGACGGAAACCAGCACCTGAGCAAGCAAATAGAGCTTCAGGTCTCAGAGAACGTCTTGCTATAAACCTGGCGTGAAATAATGTTCTGTGCCAATGAACTAGTAAATCGTTCCTCCTGGGGGTCCCGGCGGGGAGGCGGCTGGCGCATTGCTCTGTGCAGCTCTGCTCTGGGCCAGCCCTCATCTGTGGGGAGTGCCTCCCCTTGGGCTCTGCGGCTTTCTGTGCCCTGTCACCATAGCTACTTAGGGTGCTCCTGGATTCCAGTCTTCCCACTCCCATCCACTCTGCATGGCCATAGAGCCTCCAGAGCATACACCCGTATCCTGCTCCAGCTGCTCCTCGCAGGAGGAAGCACCCCACCCCCCGCCGCCTACCTGCCCAGAGCCCACTGTCCAGCCCGCACCTCCTGAGACCCTGCCCTTCTACAACTGCCAGGGTGCCATCCTCCTCATGCCTGCCGGCCTGGGAGCTCTCCTCAAATGTCAAGGTCCAGGTCAGCTTCCACTTGTTTTCCCCAGGGGTCACCCCGTCAACATTCCAGGGCTTGCAACCTGGCTACTTGGGTACCTTCTTGTACAAGTGGGTTTACCTATATTCTCATAAAATCCTGAACTCTAGCTTCAGCAGAGACCCATCAGGTCAGTCACCCTGTTCCTTCCTCTTGTCCCTTCTGTGCCTGAACCCCCATCTCCCACTGGTGGTGAGGACTGACCTGTGCCTCCCTGCACAGCTCTGAGGACAGGAGCATATGCCGTCAGTGCGCCACCCTGCAGAGCTCGGCTAGCAGGCGCGTCTTCTTACCACCAGCCTCAACTCTTGGCCGCAGTCCTCTGGGTATTACGGGAAAATCCTGCCCCTGTGCCCTGGCTGGCTGTGAGAGCTGGAGGGACAGACCACAGGGCCCATCCAATGGCCCCTTTTTCATATTTTAGCACCCCAGGTTCCCGAAGGTATTCCTTGAGCTCTTTTCAGTTGTAGGTGGACACAATACCTTTATTTTACTTATTTTTATGAGGTGCTAAGAATCAGACCCAGGGCCTCACACGTGCTAAGCAAGCGCTCTGTCACTGAGCCCCAGCCTTGTGACCCTTCTTTCCCTGATTTCCAAAGACCAGGAATGGCCCTGAGCCTCTAGTTTCTTTGGTGTTAGGGTCCCCCGATCCTGGCTGTGGAGTGGAGCCAGACTGTGGAACCGCTTTCTTTACTATGGCTTCTAGTCCAAAATGGGCTTTCCTGGGCATGGACTAATGGCCCCTGAGCTGACCACCCTCTGTGTTCTAGAAACTCTGTAGTGATGGGGTAGCCTTGAGGCTATTAACTCAGGCTGGGCCGTCAGTGCCAGTGTTGCACTTCACAGGGGAGGCCCCTTCGGGGTTCGCTGCCAGGCCTGTCCCCTCCCCCGCACTGCACTCCCCCACCTCTGAAGAGTCTCACAAGGCGAGTAGAGCTCCAGCTGCTGTGGCCCTCTGTCCTCTCAAGTGTTTAAAGTTTTCGGCTGTGTAGGGTACAGTGTGAGGTCCACCATCGCTACACCAGTGCGTACAGTTCAGCAGTGTCAGCTACAGTCACCTTGGTGTGTAACCAATTCCAGAACCTTCCCATCCTGCAAGACAGCACCTCCACCTACCCAACATCCCATGTCCCCCCTCCTGTCCCTGACCTATGTAGCTGTACTGGGTGACACCATGACTCCATCTCCTCTAGACACCCCGTCCGTGGGGTCACACAGTAGATGTCTTTTTGTGCATGGCTTATTTTCTTAAAAAATGTCCTCAAGTTTCATCTTTTCTTTTCTTTCCCTTTTTCTTTTTTAAGATTAAGACATTCATGGGGCTAAGAAATCCACACAACCAGGAAGTCCAAGTTAGAGCTGCACCAAGTGTCACTGTGGAGTGGCACCTGTCTCTATGGCCCTGCCTGATGCCCCTGAAGACACTCTGAGAAGGGCACCACCAATCGCCAAATGGCTCTGTTACCTGAGGACTGCCTCTACCCTCCTAAGGTCAGTTCTGACAGAGCACCTGATGCTCGCAGACTCAGGCTGTCTGCCGAGAGACCCGGGCTTACCCAAAGGTGCCAGCCCAAGGGGGCTATGCCCATGGCAGGCCTCGGGGGAGCCTGGGAGGAAATCTGAGAAGTACAAGCACAACCAGGTGACAAAGATGATGCACTCCTCTCAGCAGCTACTTCTAACTCGGGCTCTGCCACGAGCGGCCATGCGGACTGAGCCAGGGAGGGGCCGGCACAGCAGGGCAGACATTGGCAATGGCACAGTCTATAAGGGGCTGGTGGCAGGTGCTCTATGACCTTGTTTCTGGGTGTTTCCAGGTGGCCAAGAGCACAGCCTCCAAAGTTAGACTTCGGGGGTCCGGGTCCTGGTTCTGTACCTGACCAGCCACTAACCTGCTTCCCCAAGTGTACGGTGGGAATCCCGACAGCACTGACCTCAGTGGACAGCCGTGTGGCTGTGTGGACCGGGCCTAGGCAGAGGCCAGGGCTCCAGAGCTCTGACTAGAACCGGGCCACTCACCCCACACGACTCCACCCCCACCCACCCCTGCCCCATCAGCCCCAGATCCAGGGTGGGTGTAAGGCCCAACATCACACCCGTGGTGAAGTCCTGAAGGGCCGGTCCCATGCTGGAGCTGACTTTGCAGCTCTAGCCTGTGGGGGAGGGGACTTGTAGGGGAGGGATGTTGAGGCCCTTCCCCAGTGCTGGCCCTGGCCTGGGAGAGCAGTGCCCACAAAGGCGGGAGCCTGTGGGGCCTCTGCAGGGTGGGCAGAGTTCAGGGAGCCTGGAAAGCGCTCTGCTCCAGGGGGTGAGGCGAGCATGCTCCCTGGGCGACCTGGGGCCACCCAGCTGAAAAACTGAGTGAGGAGAAGCCGCAGCGCGTGAGGCCCACCACTGCGTGGCTGCTTCTCCCACAGTAAGGAGCACACGTGGGGGACTCCTGTCCCTCTAAGCGGTGGCAGCACCATCTGCTGAAGTGAGGTGCTCTGTGACCTGCAGAGGGCAGGGGTGGGGTGGCTGGACTGTCCAGGCAGCTGATGTTTGGAACCACCGGATCCTGGGCACCTGTTCTGTGCTGGGCATTTCCCAAAGAGCATGTCTGACCACTGGGCACCGGGCAACAGGGGCTGCACCCAGCTGCCCCTCCAAATCAAGAGACTGTACCCCCTGGAAGGTGGCTGTGAAGATGGCTCTACCATGTGATTCTACCATGTAACATGTGCCGCAGGGACAGAGGGTCTTGAAAAAGAAAAAGTAGCCCCTCTGGAGTGGACATCCCCGTGGGATGACCAAGATGCTCCGGTCATAGCAAACCTTTGCCAGGGAAACGAAGCTGCGAGTTTCATGTGTTTTCCAATGTCACACAACATCACCATGAGACCGACACGACACCGTTAGGTCAAAACACCAGAACAACCAGCCTCCAATTGAGCGCCAGGTGGCCGGGTCAGCAGGACGGGTGCCGCTGCAGTTCTGCCCAAAGCTTGCGGACAGCCTACCTGGTTTGCTCTTTCCAGGTCGGTCATGATCATTTCGATCTCGTCGGCCCTAGGAAGGTGAGAGGAGAGAGTGGGTTAGCTGACGACAAGGCAGGCTCAGGAGTGACACAGGACAGGCTTTCCGGCTCAGTGCTAGGCAGGACATCACATTCACTGGGCGAGGTGGGGTCCCAGCACGGGGGAGGGAAGGACCCAGTAGACCCGCGAGGGGTCGCAGCAGCCACAGGGAGGAGGTGGGCTCCTGCTGGGGGTGGACTGCCTGTGGCATCGTTCTTCTGATGACCTTCTGTCTGGGGAGCAGAGACAGAAAAGGTAAAATACACTGTGTTCTGGTAAGCAGAGCTCTGGACAGAGCGCTCTGGGGAGACAGGGGGACGACTTCTCCTGGGGAGAGGGAGTCCGGGAGGCTTCGGGGGCAAAGGGGCCAGAGGAGGAGTTGGGAAGGGCCAGGTTAGGCCCTTGGCAAAAGGCCTTTGGCAAAGAAGGCTTTGCCAGGACGGAAGGGACAAGAGCAGGCAGTCAGATGGTGGGAGGAGGGCCGGGGTGGAGAGGCTGTGGGGGGGCGCTGTGGGGGCAGGGACATGGCTGGGCTCACTGCACCCCAGCTTGCCCCTAGCAGCACAGTCTCCAGGGTCTTGCTTTTGTGTTTCAAAGTCCTTCCTTGGGCAGCATGAGGCCAGCACGTGGTCCTGACACATACCACCGTAAGTGGGGAGAGCAGTCCCTCAGGGAAGGCTGCCAACGCCCATGGCCTGTGGTGGCTGGAAGAGGACACAGGGCAACCCACCACCCCCTTGAGACAGGTTCTGCTGACCGCCTGTGAGGACACAGGATGAGTGGCTGTGACCCCAGAGAGGTGCCAGCATATCCTCGGAGCCCAAGACAACGTGACGGCTACCAGCCCTGGCTGGGGCTCTGGGCCCTGTTCTCTGTCCCGTGTACCTGGGCGCCCTCTGTTGCCCACTTCCACTGTGCCACAGCTTTCCCACACCCAGGCTCCTGCCCTCCACCCAGCCTTGCCCAGGGCTCATCCCCGTGGCCCTGTGTCCCCACAACTTCCACCTTGAGCAGGAGCCGACTCTGCTCAGGCCCTGCTACTCCCAGCCCTCCCCAGTCCTTCCAGGTTCTGTCTGAGGCTGTGGCACACGCCCTCTCCCTCACTGGCATCCCCAAACACGGTGAGCTCTCTGAAGGCCAGGCTGAGTGTCTCCTTGGTACCCGGTCCCTGGACTTGGCCCTGTATCTGGAATGGGCCAGAGGCCTGCATGTGCCATCTGCCAGGCCCAGGCAGGTCCACTCCCTGGGACAGCCCAGGGCACCCAGGCAGGTGGGTCTCAGGGTCCTGAGGAGGCATGTGCTGCACAGGGGACCCGCCCTCTCCTCACACTGAGCAGGCGCACGTCTTCAGGTCCCTGGACTGCCCAGTGGTCCAGGCCGGGGTTTCTCCAGCCCACCTCTGCATGCGGGGATCTGAGGCAATCTTATCAACTCCCAGTGGCCTGGACACCTTGGGATCAGGTTCAATGCATTGTATCTGAAATAGTAGCTGCTTTCAGACTGGCCCGAGTAAAGTCTGGAACAGCCGTGGAATGGCCTAGTTAAATGGAGCTATTTTTAGGACGGTTTCATGGGGAAGGCAGTGTCTCTGTGAGATAAAAACCCAACTGGGCCCCTGCTGTGAGGTGCTGGGCGAGAGCAGACGGGGGCAGTGGGCTAATATACGGAACAGTCTTTGGGGCCATCCCACGCCCAAACTCCACGCCCTGGGGAAAAGCTGCCGAGCAGAGACTCTTAATAACCACGGAGGATTAAAACACATCATTAACGAGCCAAGGGTCCTAAACATGAGAAGAGGAAGATCGGAGTCCAGGCAGAAAGCCACCTCCTGTCCCCACCGCCTGAGGATGAAGGACGCAGAGCTGCACCCCAGCAGGCACAAAAGGAAACAAAGCCATGACTCCTCTCAGTTGTGCAAGTTTCACACACAGTTCTGAACTTTAATCAGGCAGTTCTTCATCGGCAGTGAAGGAAGCCCAGGCGCACATGGCGGATGCCCCAGACGTCCCGGACACCCACCATCCGCTTACTGGTTCACGGGTTCCTTGAGTGTCTGACACCTCACGCCTTATGGCGCCAGGAGGCAGGCAGAGACCCAGAAGCGGTTCACGAATCTCGCCAGTGCCGCGTGGCTGCCGAGCACCCCAAGACAGACCTGCAGGGAGAGGGCAGAGCTGCCTCTCCCTCCTTCAGGGGCACCTGCAGAGCCGGCTGCAGAACCTGGGAGGCGAGCGGTGCCCACTGGTCTGGGTGAGCAGAGGCCCGAGTGCATGTCCAGGCAGGGACTTCTGTGAATCGCTCCCGTTGGTCCTTTGTGGGCTGTTCCCAAGTCGCAGCTAACCTCCCTGGGTCGACAATGCTTCCTTTGCTCTGTTTGAGACTCATCGTTCGGAAGTGAGCTGCTTCTGTCCTCGGCGTCACTCCACCTTTGTCTTCTATTTTGCTCTTTTCCTGCAGCCTTCTGGAGGCTTCCTGAATAGGGCCTGAGTGCTTGTGGGCTGTGCCGCCACTCAGGGCTGTGCCCCCCCTTCCTGCTTTGCTCCTTTGGGTCCTCTCCAAACCTGTTGTTTCCACCTGGTTCATTTTCCCACGGAGCCTACCTTTTGCTTTACCTAGTTTTTTGAGTCCATTTCTCAGCCTGATTTGTTCTTGTGGCCCATCTGTCCCCTCAGGTCACATGCACCAAGGGGTGTGGGGTCTTTCAGAGGACAGCCATTTTACCTCTGGGCTCTGATACCCTGGGGAGAGCCAGCGACCCCTTGGGGCAGTGGATAGGTCAGGGAGATCAGAGAAGCAAGCCCTGTTGTGAGTGCCAAGATGAATGGAAGAGAAAGACGCACAGCAGGGGTCCGGCAGGTTTTGCTGAAGAAGGAAGGGAGGGCCTCTGGCCCCCAACTGCTCACTGATGACTCCCCTCAGCTGCCCCTCCACCAGGAATCCGTCCAGCCAGAGCTGGGCCTCCCCTTCCCTGCCAGGGGCAGCAGTGCCAGGAGGAGGCCTCCTGGGTGTAATCCCCATCCTGGACATCTGGAGCAAAGGGTTGGCTCCCCACCCCTTGTCTGGGAGAGCACCAGGAAGAGGGGTTCCGAGAGGCTGGCCTCACAGAGGCATCAGGGCTGGGCTGGGGTGCTGAGGGCTGGGAGTGGTGCCCCCATAGTCTTGGGTCAGGGGGCCCAGGTGGGCTTGGGAGCTCCCTGCAGATGTGGAGACTCTGGCCTTGGCTGTTCATTAGGATTCTTAACATCTAGGAAACTATGCCTCATATTTCTGAAATATTTCAAGTCACTTATAAAAAGTTAGTCACATTTAAACAGGAAGGTGCCTTCTCAGCTGTCTGCAGCAATCCCTGGAAATGAATTTCAAGTTTTCCATCTACAGGTCAGTTTAACTTGGGTTCCTAAGCAACTGCCGAACTGACCAAAATACTGGGCGTGCTAACGACCTCTGCCCTAGCCTTTCATGGGGACAGCAGCTCCTGTCCTCCCCCAGCTTTCGGAGGACGATGACCACCCTGAGCTTTGCCTCGTGGGGCAGGTTATTCGAACCAGGTACGGTGCTGACAGCTGGGCCCAGGGGGCTGCAGCTCCTGACCCCGAAAGGAGACAGTGTGGGGAGCGGGGATATCCCGCAGGAGAGGCCGAGTTCAGGTCATTTGCAGGATCCCTACTAATTTTTTGGAGGGGCATTTTTTTAAAAGGTCAAAGAGAACACAACTCGCTCCAGCCGGGTGGGAGCTGAAGCGCAATGGGTAGCGGGAGGCGCACGGCGTGGCCCCGGCACCTGTGAGCCTGGACCAAGAACAGCCTCTCTGTCTTTAGAACCCACTTGCACACAAAGCGGCCACCCACGCCTCCCAACATCCACCCTGCCAGACCCACACCCTGAATCAGCAGGACGAGCACACCCCCAGGTGAGTATCAGCCACCAGGAGGGGTCCTCAGGCGGGGATGACACACCGTGGCCTCTGTGGCCTCCCTGGCCCAGCCTCCAGATGCATTTCTTTTCATTCCACAGGCTCCACGGCCGCCCACCATCTGGAGCCTGACATTAGTCTAAAATCATTTATTTTCCAAAGTCCGCAAGAACCGCACATATTGTTTGCTCAGCAGAACGATTTATTATAAAAATCTAGTTCCCTCACCTTTTTACGAGCTGACAAAACAGCTTCCCCTGATCTATTAACCTGGGCTGCATTATGCTCTGCTCCGACTCCAGCGGCAGATAATTTCAGTTTGGCCCGGAATATATAGTTCATTCATCCGCTCCCTGCACATCATTCCAGGGTATTCTCTGGGCGAACACACGATTTTTATGAGGAACTTGAAAGGACGTGGTCAAGGTTGATGGAAAGGAAATTATACCCACGCTAGACACAGTGTATTTCCTTTCACATGCGCCTCCTGAGTGCTGGCGTCCGGCACCAGGGCAAGGCTATGTGCACTTCAGTACCCAAACAATCACAGTGCCACCAGGAACTGCTAAAACAGAGAACACCCTGCCCTCCATATCTGCACATTCCACATCCAGCTGGATTCCACCAACCGTGGATCAAAGTATTCAGAAAACCCTGCACCTGTTCTGAACACATATAGTCTCTCCCCTAGACGCCATCCCCCAGTGATGCAGCACAACTATTTACATAGCGACTGCACAGGGCCGGGTACTGTAAGTCACCTAGAGACAAAGTGCTATCCCAGTGTAGATTCTGGTATACCTGGGGTCCCAGAATCCATCTTCTTGGGTATGAAGTGACAGAACGACATCTGTGTGTCTACGGGGCAGCTGAGGGAAGGAATAGGACGGTCTTCAAGAGCAGTCAAGTCAAAATCCAAAGAGGCTTGGTACCAGATCGTGCAGTTCTTTAGCGTCAAACAGAGAAATATCTAAAGATGGAATCTCCCTGCTTTAAAAAAGACCCCCTAATATGTCCAGGACACACACTCTCCTCGGCACACCTCTGTACCAGGAGTGAAGTGAGTCTGTGGCTAAGGT